CCACATACAGGGGCGAACAATTTTCAGAAATAAATGCCTTAAGTTAAGCTCCTACACCCATATTCAGGCACTTAAGTTAAGTGACCTCTTTTTCAGAAATGTTGAGCGTTCATTGACTTCAACAGAAGCTGCTGAGCGGTCAGCATTTTTGAAAAAGAGGCCATGTATTTAGAAGCCTAAATATGGGCTTAGGCCTCTAACTTTAGGCATCGTGGGTAAAATATTCAAAAGCACCAAAGGCCCAGATCCTCAAAGGTTTTTAGGCAATTAATCAATGGGATTTAGGGGCCTAAATACCTTTGAGGATCTGGGCCTAAGTGACTAAAGCACTTTTGAAAATTTTATACTTTTAAACTTTGGTCACAATTTCCAAATCTCCTTTTTGCTTGTGCTGGAGGCTTTTAAAAACTGGATTTATGGAATGGATACAAAAATGAAATGGATTTTTTTTTCTGGTTACATCTGTCTTGAACTCTTGTCCTATACTTAGGGCCCTACCAAATTCACAGTCCATTTTAGTTAATTTCAGAGTCATAGGATTTTAAAAATTGTAAATTTCATGATTTCAGCTATTTAATCTGAAATTTCAGTGTTGTAATTATCACAGAATCATAGAATATCAGGGTTGGAAGGGACCTCAGGAGGTCATCTAGTCCAACCCCCTGCTCAAAGCAGGACCCATCCCCAACTAAATCATCCCAGCCAGGGCTTTGTCAAGCCTGACCTTAAAAACCTCTAAGGAAGGAGATTCCACCACCTCCCTAGATAACCCATTCCAGTGCTTCACCACCCTCCTAGTGAAAAAGTATTTCCTAATATCCAACCTAAACTTTCCCCACTGCAACTTGAGACCATTACTCCTTGTTCTGTCATCTGGTACCACTGAGAACAGTCTAGATCCATCCTCTTTGGAACTCCCTTTCAGGTAGTTGAAAGCAGCTATCAAATCCCCCCTCATTCTTCTCTTCTGCAGACTAAACAATCCCAGTTCCCTCAGCGTCTCCTCATAAGTCATGTGCTCCAGCCCCCTAATTATTTTTGTTGCCATCCGCTGGACTCTTTCCAATTTTTCCACATCCTCCTTGTAGTGTGGGGCCCAAAACTGGACACAGTACTCCAGATCGGGGTGGGGGGGAATGATCATGTCCCTCGATCTGCTGGCAATGCCCCTAAACAGCCCAAAATGCCGTTAGCCTTCTTGGCAACAAGGGCACACTGCCGACTCATATCCAGCTTCTCGTCCCCTGTAACGCCTAGGTCCTTTTCTGCAGAACTGCTGCCTAGCCACTTGGTCCCTAGTCTGTAGCAGTACATGGGATTCTTCCGTCCTAAGTGCAGGACTCTGCACTTGTCCTTGTTGAACCTCATCAGATTTCTTTTGGCCCAATCCTCCAATTTGTCTAGGTCCCTCTGTATCATATCCCTACCCTCCAGCGTATCTACCACTCCTCCCAGTTTAGTGTCATCTGCAAACTTGCTGAGGGTGCAGTCCACGCCATCCTCCAGATCATTAATGAAGATATTGAACAAAACCGGCCCCAGGACCGACCCTTGGGGCACTCCGCTTGATACCAGCTGCCAACTAGACATCAAGCCATTGATCACTACCCGTTGAGCCCCACGATCTAGCCAGATTTCTATCCATCTTATAGTCCACTCATCCAGCCCATACTTCTTTAACTTGCCGGCAAGAATACTGTGGGAGACCGTATCAAAAACTTTGCTAAAGTTAAGGAATAACACGTCCGCTGCTTTCCCCTCATCCACAGAGCCAATTATCTCGTCATAGAAGGCAAATAGACTTGCCCTTGGTGAATCCATGCTGACTGTTCCTGATCACTTTCCTCTCCTCTAAGTGCTTCAGAATTGATTCCTTGAGGACCAGCTCCATGATTTTTCCAGGGACTGAGGTGAGGCTGACTGACCTGTAGTTCCCTGGATCCTCCTCCTTCCCTTTTTAAAAGATGGTCACTACATTAGCCTTTTTCCAGTCATCCGGGACCTCCCCCAATCACCATGAGTTTTCAAAGATAATGGCCAATGGCTCTGCAATCACATCCGCCAATTCCTTTAGCACCCTCGGATGCAGTGCTTCTGGCTGCATGGACTTGTGCACCGCTGTATTGCTCTCCCAGCAGATATCAGGGTGATTGAAGTCTCCCATGAGAACCAGGGCCTGTGATCTAGTAACTTCTGTTAGTTGCCGGAAGAAAGCCTTGGGATCTTGACCCAAAAAGGAGTTGGGGGCGTGGGGTTGGCAGTACCACTACTCTTACTTCTGCACTGCTGCTGGCGGTGGTGCTGCCTTCAGAGCTGGACAGCTGGAGAGCAGCGGCTGCTGGTCGGGAGCCCAGCGCTGAAGGCAGCGCTGCCGCCAGCAACAGCACAGAAGTAAGGGTGGCATGGTATGATATTGCCAGCCTTACTTCTGCACTGCTGCCTGCAGAACTGGGCCCTCAGTCAGCAGCTGCCACGCTCTGGCCACCCAGCTCTGAAGGCAGCAGCACAGAAGTAAGGGTGGCATAGTATGGTCTTGCCACCCTTAATTCTGTGCTGCTGCTGGCAGGCTGCTGCCTTAAGAGCTGGGCATCTGGGCAACAGCTGCTGCTGTTTGGCCGCCCAGCTCTGAAGGTAATACAGAAGTAAGGGTGGTAATACCATAACCCCCCTGCAACTCCCTTTTGGGTCAGGACCCCCAATTTGAGAAACGCTGGTCTCCCCTGTGAAATCTGTATAGTATAGGGTAAAAGCACACAGAAGACCAGATTTCATGGTCTGTGACGTGTTTTTCATGGCCATGAATTTGGTAGGGCCCTTTTTATGCTACACTACAACCAGGTCTTACATATTAGCCTGAGAATAAAATATATAACTATTTAAAACCCTATAGAAAGGTCCTCTCTTCTTTAATAGAGAAGTTAACCATTCTGTAGAACTTTAAGCCATTATATACACCGATACAACACGAATTCTGATATGACGCGATAAAGCAGTGCTCCGGGGGGGCGGGGCTGCACACTCCGGCAGATCAAAGCAAGTTCGATATAATGCAGTTTCACCTATAACGCATTAAGATTTTTTGGCTCCTGAGGACAGCGTTCTATCGAGGTAGAGGTGTAATTGGGATGTAGTTCTCTAAAGTTCTATACTTTGATTTAAAATGTTGGTATTTCCTATGAAATTTTTATAGTATTTCTATAGAAGCCTATTAAATTTTGATAACACTCTATTATTGTCTAAATATTATTGTGAGTCCTACACTTATATTAAGGTGGGATATATCTGTCTCTTTGGGGAATGATTAAGCATGTTATTCAACAATTAAAATTTAAAGAGAAAAGTTGTTACATTACATATTGAACTGGGGAGTGTGAGTTTGAGTAACATGCCTCTTCATGGTTATTTGGTTCAGTCTGGTCAGTGTAAGGGTATGATGAGCCTCGGGAGGCAATCCAGGCCAGCGAGAGGTTGTGTCACCACTTGCTCTGAAACCCTAGATGCCTTACAGTGCTTTTCTGCTGTATCTTCTAGTGTGGGACATTCACAATGAGCCTACAAGCATGCAGGTTGCACTCTGAAATACCTGTGTGCTAGACAGCTCTGGTTCAGAAGCCCTGAACCCAGCAGCCTGTCTACAGCCCCACTCTGGCTTCCACCAGCCTTGGTTACTACTTGCAGTGTGACCCCAACACACGCTAAGTCCCAGACTTTCCTAAAACTGTGTGTGCTGCAATGTCCAGCCCTCTCCTGGACAGTTCAGAGAAATAATAATGTCTGTTTGTTCCTTTAAAGAGACACAAGCACATCATAGCCTATTAACTTAACTGAGGTAAATACACACCTTTCCCTTTAAACACAGCACTGAGTTGGTTTATAGTAAAAATAAAACAAATTTATTAACAATAGGGCATAGGTTATGTGATGCCAACTAAAGGAATAATGTTAGAAAGGGTTACAAGCAAATAACACAGTAGTATTGTATACTATCAGTTGATTCAATTGCTTATCACTTGAGGTTCAGACCCCCCTGCCTTGATAGACCAGTAAACCTTTGAAATGGATTCTTCTGAGGATTACCCCTCAAAGTAAAGTTTATTCAAGCTGTGAAGAAGACGACATGGAGTCTGGTGATGAAAGAAGCTCCATGCTCTTTCGTCCCCCTGCTGTCTCAATGGGCCTGTTTACTGCTTATATGTAAATACGGACCTTCATTGTCTTTTCCTGAAGATTGGGCTGGTCAGACAATCAAATTTACATTTCTTTGTCTAAGGCAGACCTGTTCACCAACTCCCCCTGACATGCCTGGTTTAATCACACGTTAGTCATAATTCTAGCATGTACCTATAACTCTTAAAACCCACCATGTACATACATCATTCAAGAACATTAATGATCAGTGAGTTATTAGCTTTCAAATGATACCTCACAAGGCATGTTTTGTACAAAAATTATTACAGAATTGTGTGGGGCGTGACTATGGGGTGCTTACGGTCATAAATGGGCATCTAGTAAAAGTGTGACTTATAAAATATAATTATCACTTGTTTTTATACTGACTCATCAGAATAATCATTCCTGTAACCATCATGGTTTTTTTCCACTAGGAAAAAAAGCATTAATATTCTTAAATTATTTTTCCAACTTCAGATTTAAATAAAATACAGGAAATTTATTTGATCTGGAACATTTCTGTAAGTGCTCAATTGTCACTTGCTTTTTGGAAACCGAATACTACCCTCCAATCTAACTTCCCTGTGTAAATGTTTGTGCTTTCCCTTCTGAAGATTAGACTTCTGTAACTGAAACTTTTATTACATCCAGTTCATGGATTCAGGACCCAGCCCAGTTCTGTACTCCTTTTAGTAGTGGATAGGAAGAGTTTTTCTTTCTATCCACACTAGTGAGGTTTTCAACAGTTGAGAGTTGCTACCATTGTTAAATGAGAAATGACGACAATACCCACCTACTTCTGATCATCCACCCTTTGTTTTCTTCTACAGATTTATTGGTTCAAAGATGGGAAGCAGATCTCTAAAAGGAGTGATCACTACAAAATTCAAAGAGAACCGGATGGGACCTGCTCTCTCCACACTACAGCCTCCACCCTGGATGATGATGGGAATTATACTATCATGGCTGCCAACCCCCAGGTAAATGGAAGTTTGGCTGCAGAATAAGCATGCTCCTGTAAACTCTCTCCTCTAACAGTTGTGCAATTTAATTAGAGATGAAGTCATCTTAAAGTATGTAATACTTAGACTTCATCAGCAGGGTGGGACCACTGTGCCGCTATGCTTAGGGAGAAATGCTATGGAATGGTTATTTTGTTTGTTTTTCATTGTCATTTCTTTGCCTTCAGCTGACACTGTCTAAATGTCTTGACAGAGCATGCCTTAAGTAAATATTATGCAAGGTAAAATAGGCAAGGTTCCCAGCAGAAGTAACTCAACACAGCTAAGCTGTTGGTTACACTTCCGCTGATAGCACTTATTAACACAATTAGTCCCACTGAAACCAATGGGACTATGTGGATCAGTTGTGCTTCTCACTATGAGTAAGGCTTTTCGATTCAGGACCTAAAACTACATGAAAATACTAAGGCTGAAATGCAATCTAATAAAAGCCAAGGATTATAGCATGTAGTATGTGTAATATGGCAGCCTGATGTGTAGGAAACATCCCATGGTCTTCACTGTATGTTCTTCTGAAACTCACATGATATTGCTTTGTAATCTGAGTGATTCTTTACATATGCAGTAGCTAATAAACTAAAGCTGTGGTGCATAACAGAAACCTATTATCACACACATTGGAAAAAGTAACACGGTGGACATAAAGCCTGAAGTCACAGGCTAAGAACACTGGAAGTCATTTTTTCAACCCACTTTTTCCTAGTTTAGCAAGCTGAAGGCAACACTGCTTGAATTCAAGCCATGAGAGACCAAAGCATTGCCATAACTTAGAGAAATAATGAATAATTGCATTCTGCAGCACCGAGGACCTTGCCAAGATCAACTCTCAAATAGTTACATTGTAAAATAACAAACTCTATCATTAAGACACAACTTAATCTAAACAGGAGTGTTGTGCTCTGTTATGCACGTTGCTAGGCTACTTAGCATGACACTTCCATTTTTGCATAGCTTTTTAGCTGTCAATACCTCCTCAAGTTGCAACATATATACAAATGGTAGCTTTAAGCTAGACCTTGATACCAGAAACTGTATTGGATAAAACTCTCAAATGTAAATGTTATTTCCACATTATATAAATAGTTTCACAAGTCCCTGGATAATCTTTACAAGCTGGAAACATCCTTCATACAGAAAGCACTGTACAATAACTAAGTAATACACCTACCCATTTGCGTGATAAATAATGCAAACGGATAGCAGGTTTGTTTGGAATTAAAAAAAAATAACACACTCCTCTGCACCAAGGTAGAAACATCATCCTGAGAACTCCTAGGTTCAGCATTTGAGGCCTGATCCAAAACCCAAGCAAGTCAATTGAAAGACTCCCATTAACTTAGGGGTTTTTTGGATCAGTCACTAGATGAGATTTACAAGTTCATTTAGTACCTACTTTTGTTTATTTCTCTGAATATCACCAAGAGGCTACTGACCAATTTGATGACAGAGATGTGACCCAGACAATCATCATTGGCAACGGATGGCATTTAATAATGCTACTTTTTAATACAGTAAAAAGTTCTGCTTTATTCCCTGTTTTGGAGTCTGAGAAAACAGCTATGTGAACTAATGAGAAAATCTTGTGCTCATGTTTGCTTGACTTTGGACAAGAACCAGAAGCATCCTCCTCTGGATCCCCTGGATGAAAACTTGGAAGTTTATGTTATTACGCAATATAGAAAAACATCTAAATGGTTCACCCAGCCCTTTATGTTCTTTCTTCACAATGTAATTCCCAAGTAAATATAATGGTCTCCCAGCATTAGTTTATTTCTACTATGCATTTAGCAGTTCAGTGGAGGCAAAGAGCAGCAGTGGATTAATGCACTAGCCTTTCACACCAGAAGACTTGGATTCCAGGCTGGTTAAGTCATCATACATGGAAATAAGTTTGGCTTGTCCTCCTAATGCTAATGGAAATTTGTCCACATCTCAAAGCTTCCGCAAACATAGGCAAAATTAGCAGCTTCTTTCCAGGAAAAGCATAGTACATGAATATGTATTAAAGCACTGTACAGAGGGTGGGTCTCAAAACAGGATTCTAGTGGATTGGCAGAATTGTGTCAGTACAGGTTACACAGTGCTGCTGCACTTTGCTGGACTCTGGCCAGTGCTATTAGCCCCTCATTTTATGAGTGCCAAACAAATCTAGAAATAAAAGGCAATGAAGCTAATCCTCAGATGATGTAGATATAGTTAGTTGATATAAAGGAGCTATGCCAGCTGGATTGATATTGTGAAATTTACACATGTAGGATTTACCAGCTTATCTTGGAAGAAGAAAAAGGAAATATACCATTCTTGCATATATATATACTGTAGTTAATATTGTGTAAGCATCTACACTATAGGAACCTGAAATTTGGGATTTATAATCTGGCAACAAACTGGGTTCACTGTAAAGCCTGGCATAGAACATCTTAACTGAGGAGCAAACTTTGTTTTGCAAATTCTCCAATAACTCAGCTTTGTGTGTTTTATCCCATTCAACATTGCTTTACACATATTGGTAACCTCCCAATGGCTAGCCTCCTACCAATGCCAGTAAGTGTGGGTGTGGGTCCTTACCTTCTCACTCCTTCCTGTTTTTCTTCCTCCTTTTACTTTTTTTTGTAAAGTGGAGTAGCAATCAGGTGCCCCCTCACTATCTGACTGGCTATCCCTCTGGCCTTCCTCTGCTGCTACCATCTTCCCTCCACTTTCCAGGCCATCTTGTCCTAGATCATGCCTCACCGATGGTTTCTTCACTTCCCAATACCATAAACTGTCAAGTTCCCTAACCCTCCTGTTAGTGTTTTCCATTCTAGATTCTTTCCAGTCCTTTAAATTTCCCTTTCTGGATGCCCTCTTGCATCTACATCCCAGTAAATTTAGCTAGAAATGAGTTAATTCACTACCCACAAGCAACAACTTAATGTATAATAATGCCTAAAATAGAGGCTTACTGGTTCCAGATGTTTTTTATAGTCTTATTACTCAACATTTTCACAGGCCATGTGCAGTAACTTATTGTAACACAGGTATTTGTCTGGTGGACTAAATAGGTCAGAGGATTGGGGATACAGAGACTTTCACCTCTAGCTCTCCAATTCTAATCTCTGCAGTAATTAAAAGTTCATTACCCTTTGAGAGCTATTTAGTGACCGATGTGAAATTTTGTTACGGGAGTCCATCCAGTTCCTAGTGAGTGGCTGCCCACATTGTGGTTGGCACCTTTTATTACCCATGTTACTAGACACATGAGTGTGGAGCCCAAAGTTCAGGTACATCTGCAAACTGATGCAGGGATGCTTGGCACTATTGCTGCCCATGTGGTAGTTATTCAATAGATAAAGGTAACTTCACTCTTTAGGGCACCTGATCCATGATTTTTCAGGAGCATTAAAGTTGCGCTAATATATTTTTTAAAATAATGCATTTTTCTGCTATAAATATTTGTTTTATGACGTTAATAACATATTTCAAAAGCATTTACGTAACACACTTTTAAAAAAACTGTCTCAAATAGAAAAGTTACCCTCTACAAATACTCTGTTCTCATTTCTTGAGCAAATACAACCTATGAAAGTGAAAATAACTACAAAACAATTTTGTTGTTATCATTACACCACAAAGCACTCACAGCTGATAACTACAGTTAAAATAAATTCTCTGTCCTTACCATCTTCTGTGGTGTCTTCCCCTCAAAACAATATGCACAAAGGATATAGTGTGAGCCTGAACTATCACTTGATTGTCTTTGTTAGCTGCTCGGTATATTATGTATTGTATATGCTCCAGTTACCTAAGAGCAGGTAGAAAATGGTCAACAAAATTTTTCTTTAACAAAAAATATGACTTTTAAAAAGAAATTATTCCCCTCCCAAAAAATAGTTTCTTTCAGAATATTTTGATTTTTCAACAAATCAGGTCTAAATGAACATTTTCATTTAGTTTTGATTAAAATCTACTTTTGTTTGTTATTTGTTTTTCCCCTTTGTCCTATTTTCCACTGAAAAATAGTAGGGAAGAGAAGAAGGAGGGGGGAAACTGAAAGAATTAAAAATTCTCATTTGAGTTATTTTGTTGAAAATTTCCATGGAAAAATTTTGAATGAAACAATTTTTTCTGTTCAAAATGTTTCATGGAAAATATTTAGTGTCTTTCAAGGAGCGCTAATTTAGAATACAGCCAAAAAGTGCAAACACTGCAATATTAGAACAACAGAAATTACTTTTAAAATACAGATTCATCTTGTGCAATAAAACTGAGAGGGATTTGATACAACTCAACCACTCATACCTGAACCATGGGATGAACCAAAATCCCATATCTAAACATGGCTAAGTTTTCATGGATTCAAAGGCCAGAAAGAACTATTATAATCTGGTCTGACCTGCATAATTTTGATTTGGTGTGGTTGGGTTTGAGATCTAGACTCTGTAGCTCAGTCCTGTATGATAATGAAAGCCATACATTTAAAATTAATACACAATACAAAACACAAAATTGTTGTTTTGCAAATTTTCTTCTAAAAACAACACTGTACATGCTGACTTCATTGTGGCCTTTGTAATGGAGCCTTCTGAACATAGGAATTCACTGCTTGTTTAGATTAAATCAAATGTTCTAATAAAATGTAAGCTTTTTGCCAGGTATTTCAGGCACTCAAGAAGACAAAACAAGTTCTACAGTTATTACATAGCCAACTGTTTACCAACAGGTGAAAACAAGAAAAATTAGCAGTGAGCTTGCTGTGTATATAACACAAATGAAATTACAATCACAAGAATGAAGCTGGTTTGCATTAGCAACATTACACTTTGTATTTTATTACTGTGCATAGTATAAGGCACAATCTTTTATCTGTGGTTATGACAGGAAAAATACATGCTTATATCATAAGAACGGCCATACTGGGTCAGACCAAAGGTCCATCTAGCCCAGTATCCTGTCTCCCGACAGTGGCCAATGCCAGG